CCCAGCTACTCTGGAGACTGAGATCTGAGGATCGTGGTTCAAAATCAGCTTTACCTGGAAAGTCTGTGAGAGACTGATCTCCAATGAACCACAAAAAGCTGGAAGTATAGCTGTGGCTCAAGTGGTAGAGTGGCAGCCTTGAGCAAAAAAGCACAGGGCCAGTGCCCAGACACACGCACACACACGTACACACACACACCTTCCAGGAAATACCTGTAAATGACTATGAGGTAAACATAATAAAACATTGGTTTGTGTGTATGTGTGTGCACACACATGCATACAAGTAAATATTGGGACTTCAACCCAGCTCCACTTTCTGTTTTTCATTTATTTTTGCCCTTTTAAACGTATTAAAAGGTTTTTTCCTCTCTACTTTTTTAAACAGGGAGTGCAAAAGTCATTATGCTATTTGAAATTAGTTCATGTTAGGTTTCCATAAAAAGAATCCCTTGCTGACTCTTTGTAGCTTACTCTTTGTAGATTTATTTGAAAACTGGTTTTCTGAGACCATTAGAAAAAATAAAATAATGGCAAAAGTTTAAAATGCCTCTGCAGAGACTTCAAGTCACAAACTGTCAGGTCTTTGTTACACACACACACCCCACACACACTTGAGTTCTCTGTTGTTTTGCTTTTTGTCTGGAAGCAGTATTAAGGAACAGATGGTTAATTGCCACAGGGAAGCTGGATAATGGAGTTTGAGGAGCTCAGAAGAGGTTAATGAGAACAATCTGTGCTGGTTACAAGATTTTTTTTTTTTTTCCCCACTCCACCCACCCACCCAGGATAATCGGGAAGTACTTATTACAGTCAGTATTTGGGATTTCATTTGTGTTAAACAAAAATACAACATAAGCCGGGGGCTAGTGCTCACGCCTGTCATCCTAGCTACTTACAAGACTGAGGTCTGAGGGTCCTGGTTCAAAGCCAGCCCCAGCAGAAAAGTCTTAAGAGACTCTTCTCTCCCATGAACCAGCTGGGAGTGGAGATGTGGCTTACATGGTAGAATGCTAACTTTGAGTGAAAGGTACAAGTCCCAGTACAGACATTAAAAAAGGCAGAAAGCCACATCCTTGTTTGAATTAGAATATTTTTTTTAAAACAATTCTACACCCCCCTCCCCATTTCTTCGTGGTAGGGCTTAGATTTGTTTTGTGCGTTTAGATTACACACTTAGTGTGTCAGATTCGCCCAGGGAACTTCTTCCCTGTTATTTATTAAACGTCCTGGGTTTTCCACTCAGGACTTGGCCCCAAAAGAAGAAACGAAACAAGACCCCATGATGTGGCAGACAAATGGGCCATAGCAGCTGAGCTGGGAGCCGCCACACATCATTTCAGACTCTCAGGAAAATGCTTTCCACCTTCGTGTCTTTGAAGTGGCTGCCTTTGAAGTTTACTTAGGTTAAACGTAACTTGAATTTTTCCTGATTAGAAAGTAGCTCTTGTGTGTGTGTGTGTGTGTGTGTGTGTGTGTGTGTGTGTGTGTGTGTGCGCGCGCGCATGCATGCGCACGTGCACTGGTACTAGGACTTAAACATAGGCTTGCACTCTCATTTGACTTTTTCAGTCAAGTCTGGTTCTCTGTTTGAGCCACACTTCCACTTCTGGCTTTTTGCTGGTTCATTGGAGATCAAAAGTCTCATGGACTTTGCTATTCCGGCTGGCTTCAAACTTTGATCCTCATGTCTCAGCCTCCTTAGTGGCTAGGTACAGGTGTGTGCTACTGGCACACACTCTGATTATATTTGTAATTCCCGTAACAGCTTTCTAATCAAGTCATCTAAATTTTGGGTCCCTGAACTCTGTCATCTGCTTAAATTAAGATGGAAAAGCCTTGAAAACGTACAGTCATATACAAGGGTATACTTAATGAAGGCTTACTGAAAATCTACCGGATATATGTTATCTCTCTGATGTGAACGCTATTGTACTAGACTTTTTTTTATTATTGTTACTAGATATTAGCTATGTCTCATAAATGTTAATGGAAAGTTATTGGAAAATGAAAAGACATGGATTTCTTTCCATTAACCAGAAAGAAAAATCTTTATCTTCCTCTTTATAAACCCTGCCTTACTTTAAATAGGATTAAATGGTTTTGTGTTTCTCACTTCCCTGTTCTGTCTGTGTGTGTGTGTGTGACAGTCTGAGACTTGAACTCAAACACAAGGCCTGGTACTGTCTCTTAGCTAGAGCTCTACCACCTGAGCCACCATTGCATTTCTGGCTTTCTGGTTGGAGAGTCTCATGGCCTTTCCTTTGAACTGTGATCCTCATATCTCAGCCTCTTGAGTAAGGGGGATTACAGGCCAGAGCCATCAGTGCTGGACTACACTGCCCTCTCTACCCAATGAAATGGCTCTTAGCGCCATAGTGAACTCTCCACAGAAAGCCTGCCTTCTCGTTTCCACAATTATTTTATGCCAGAACATTACATTTAACATGTAAGATTTAAAATGCCTTTCCTGTTAACACTATATATTGCTTTTGGCAGAACTGAATTGTTTGGTAATAAATGTAAGTTTAGTTTCAAAGAAAACACTTTGTTCCCATTCTTCATTAGAAAAAAAAAGCTTTAAGCCGGGCGCTGGTGGCTCACGCCTGTAATCCTAGCTACTCAGGAGGCTGAGATCTGAGGATCGCGGTTCAAAGCCAGCCCGGGCAGGAGAGACCGTGAGACTCCTATCTCCAATAAACCACCAGAAAACCGGAAGTGGCTCTATAGCTCAAGTGGTAGAGTGCTCACCTTGAGCTGAAGAGCTGAGGAACAGCACCCAGGCCCAGAGTTCAAGTCCCACGACCGACAAAAAAAAAAAGAAAAAAGAAAAAAAAAGCTTTAGGAATATTTGAGATCCATGAAATCATTTTTCTGTGACTACAAAGAGATATACAGAGATAGTCTACCCTACTCCCAAGCCAGGTCCCTGTGGCTCACTCAGGAACCTGAGATCTGAAGATCACAGTTCAAAGCCAGCCTGGGTAGAAAAGTCCATGAGCCTCTTATCTCCAAGTGACCAGCAAAAAGTCAGAAATGGATCTGTGGCTCAAATAGTAGAGCACTAGCCTTGAGGAAAAACTCAGGGAGAGCGTGCATAGGTCCTGAGTTCAAGTCCCAGGACCAGCACTGAGAGAGAGAGAGAGAGAGAGAGAGAGAGAGAGATCCCTGACACAGATAAGCACCCATGTTTTATCTATAGCAGAGTTATTTAGGATTTTAGATTAATTTTCTCTTTGCAATAGACATTTTTTTGGTTGGACATGAGTGTGAATGCTCACTGCTTTGTAAAAAGAGAGACAGAGAACAACCCCTTAGCACCTGCTCCAAGCTAGTGCTTTACCACTTGAGCCAAAACTTCATTTCTAGCCGTTTTTTTTTTTTTTTTTTTGATAGCTGATTGGAGTTAAAAGTGTCTGTCACACACTTTCCTGCCAGGGCTAGCTTCAGACCACATTCCTCAGGTCTCAGCCTCCTGAGTAGACTGTTGTTTTGTGCATGTGCTAGTACTGGGGCTTGAACTCAGGGCCTTGAGCTCTTGCTTAGATTTGTTTGTTTGTTCAAGGCTAATGCTCTACTACTTGAGCCGCAGCTCCACTTCTGACTGTTTGCTGGTTAATTGGACATAAGAGTCTCATGGACTTTCCTGCCCAGACTGGCTTTGAACTGTGATCCTGGATCTCAGGGTTACAGGTGTGAGCAACCAGCATCTGGCCTCTCGTGCTGTGAATAATTTGATACTTTCTATAATAAGAATTTAAGAACTGAAACCTTTGGGGATGTTTTCTGTTTGTAAGAGAAAGAGTTGGGTGTTTTGGAAAGTGGTAAAGATGGTGGATGAACGCTGGTGCTCTCATTAAAGAGAGCTGTTCTGTAAACAAATATGGAAGCATCTTTGAAGGACATAGTCTAAACCCAACAGGTACAAATGCCCCGATTTCTTCCTCACTTTTCTTCATATTATTATCTCATAGAATTCAGCCATGAAGGAGTCAAGTTGTCTTTCTTCTTATCGTGTAAAAGTAATTTTTAAGGTCAACAAGGAAAAGAGTGGCATGATTTTGTTGGTACTTTTTAGCAATAAAAACCTAAGATCTTACCCAGGGCCAGTGGCTCCCGCCTGTCAGCCCAGCCACCCAGGAGGCTAAAATCTGAGGATCATGGTTCAAAGCCAGCCTAGGCAGGAAAATCCAGGAAACTCTTATTTCCAAAAAGGTGAAAGTGGAGCTGTGGCTCAAGTGGTAGAGTGCCAGCCTTGAACAAAAACACTAAGCAAGAGCTCAAGGCCCTGAGTGCAAGTCCTGGTGCTAGCCACACAAAAAGATAGCAGTAAATAAACTGGAGATCCCCCATCAACTTTGTTATAGCCTAGGCCTTAGGCAACTTCAAAATGTCTAACTGTAACTGGTTTGGAAAGAAAAAAAAAAGGTTGTGGTATTACACGTTGTTCTGGCAACATGTAAAAAAGCAAAGCAAGAAATCACCCTAGAACAAGATGGACCTCAAATAACTGCTAAAAAGCCTGAAAGCCCCTTTTCTTTTTCTTTTTTTCTTTTTCACACAGAGGCATAAAAATGTGGATTGAAACCAACTAGAAAGCCCCCCTCCCTCCTCAGAAACCCAGGTCGGCTGAACCCAGGAGTGCCTCCTGGAGGGAAAACGGTCCCTGGGAAAGTGATACGAAACTCTTAAGCGAGTGTGATTTCTCCCTTGATGATTGCAACACAAAACGAGGTCATTCAGCCAGGCACAGCGGCTCCTGCCTGCGATCCAGCCACTCAGGAGGCTGAGACCTGAGGGTCTGGGTTGGAAGCCAGTCTGTGCAGACTCTGCAGTTAACCACCAGCCAAACAGCCAGAAGTGGGTGTGCAGCTCGAGTGGTGGAGCACCAGCCTCCAGGGGAGAGGCCCTGAGTTCAGGCCCCAGTCCGGGGCTGGGGGGAGGGGGGCAAACTTGCCTTTTTTAGCCAGAACTCTAAGAGCACGATGTGCCTTTTTCAGGTGCCTGTGCAGATTGTTCCAGAACAGTGCTCTGCCTTTCTTTAGGACTACCTCACCAGCTCTGGCACAGAGACTCCGCATTCTGAGGTAAGCTGGCCTCTACTTTGAACTGGAAGGAAGGGGTGTCTCTTGGAACATGGAAACATTCCTCATAGGAAAGTTGACAAAGATAGGCAACTGGTTTTCAGATAAATGCCCAGTATAACCTTGGTCACCCTGAAAATCCCCATGATTCAAGCTTCTCATCTGTTCAGTAATGCTTGCCACTGGCTGTATTGAAAGAGGACCCATTGCTGAATGCCACCGGTGGCTCACGCCTGTCATCCCAGCTACTCGAGAGGCTGAGACCCGAGGATCACTGTTTAAAGCCACCTCTGGAAAGAAAGTCTGTGAGACCCTATCTTCAGTGAGCCAGCAAAAAGCCAGAAGTAGAGCTGTGGCCTCAGTGGTAGAGCACCAGCCTAGAGTAAAAAAGCAAAAGCTAATTGACAGTGCCCAGTCCTGGAGCCAAAAACAAAAGAAGGCATCTAAAAACTCTTGAGGAAAGGTTACACAAACACGTGACATGTAAAGGCTACACAAACACGTGACATGTCTGCTTTGTTTAGTCTTGTATGAGTTTTTTTGGATTTGGTGTGCATGCATGTGTGTGTGTGTGTGTGTGCGCGTGTGTGTGCGTGTGTGTGTGTATGTCAGTACTGGGGCTTGAGCTTGGCACTGTCCCTTTTCTTCTCAAGGCTGGTGCTCTACCACCTGTGTCACACTCCACCTTTTTTTGGCTAGTTAATTGGAGGTAGGAGTCTCAAGACTTTCTTACCCTGGCTGGCTTTGAACCCATATCCTCAGATCTCAGCCTGCTGAGATTACAGGCCTGTGTCCCTGGCACCTGGCTTTGAGTTACTGAGATAGTCTCCCCCATAGCCCAGGCTGGCCTCAAACTCCCCCTCCTCCTCCCTCAGCCTTCTGATCGGCGGGCGTAGCTGGGTGTCCCAGCGCTGTCTTTGTAACATTTCGGGGTGACTTAAATGTCTCAGAAGAGAAAACCACTTGCCCTGTTTGTAGTGAGTGACTTACTCGGGAATCAGGCGTTCACACGTTACAGGTGGATGAACTCGTTACGGGCAGTAGCCAGCTAGCGTCTCATTGACATAAGTTATGTGCGTACAGATTTGATTCGATGGTGGCTTTCCAAGGTCTCCCCCTGAGATGGAAAGCAATAGCTTCAGAACCTTCTGGTAATTGCTAGATTATTCAGAGGGACTCACCCTCACTGATTTCAGTTCCTACAAAGACCTTGCCACAAAAGTTTGTAGATATGAAAACACAGTAACCACAAGACCACGGGTGTTTACTGTTAGGTTTTTAAAAGGAGGTAGCCGAGTAAGAACTGCACCAGCACGCATGTGGTATTCAGGTAAGGGGTAGGTTTATTCAGTAGACCTGCTGGGACCAGGCAAGGTTGGCACTCCACGTGGCTGGGAAAGAGAGATGAAAGAGAGAGAAAAGAGCTAGAAAAGAGCAGAGAGCAGAGAGAGCAAGAAATGAACAGAGAGAGCAGAGAGCTAGAAACGAACAGAGAGAGAGAGAGCTAGAAACGAACAGAGAGAAAGGTAAGAACAGAGAGAGAGAGAGCTAGAATAGAACAGAGAGAGAGAGTCTGGGCCTGGGCTAGCCCTTATCTAGGGTATGGGCGGAGAAAGGTGTGGCCACATCAAATTCTGATGTGACCTCAGCAGATGCAGATGTGACTCTTCCAGGAGTTCCAGTTGCCTAGGTAACGCAGGTACTGGGTGGAGACTTTGCTGCGAGGAGGGTGGAGCGGTCCTTACATTTACAGTGAATGGTTTTATTATAACTCCCTTTTTTTGTTTTGTTGGTGGTGTTCCTGGGGCTTGAACTCAGGGCCTGGGCCCTGTTCCTGAGCCCTTTTGCTCAAGGCCAGCTTTCTACCACTTGAGCCACAGCTCCATTTCTGGTTTTATGTATATCTTTATGGAATGCGGGGTTAATTGTCTCATGGGGACTTTTCTGGTTGGGCTGGCTTTGAACCACGATCCTCAGAGCTCAGCCCCTTTTTATAATACAGTTTGGAAAAGAAGAACATAAAAGGTTGCTGGTCACCTGTGGACCACTGCTGGAATCCTCACTACTCAGGAGGCTGCGATCTTAGCACCACAGTTTGAAATCAACCCAAGTAGACAAATCTGTGAGATTCCAGTTAACCAGGCAAAAGCTAGAAGTGGAGCTGTGGCTCAGGTGGTAGAGCACCCAGGCCCTGAGTTCAAGGCCCAGAAGCAACACCAAACAAAATGAAGCACAAAGGAAAAGCAAAGCACGTTGTCGCTTAATTAAAATTCTTGGCAGTTATATTCCAAGCTCTGCTGCTGACAAAGCTGTACCACAGAGACGTCTTTCATAGATAAACTGTTGTTTCATTTGGAGGAGTTTGGTGTCGTGTATACCAGGAGAAGTCGTGGTTTATTTAGGCTTAGCGTTTAGGAATTGTGCAGGTTTGGGCTAGAATCTTTCAATTACTTGGTTTCTTTGGAGCATTCACAGTTATGCAGGTGGAAATGGTTTGACTGACTTAGAATTTACTGCTAAAGGATTTTTAGGTTTTTCTGGGGTTTTCAGTTTTTTAAATTTTCAGAAATGCTCAAAATAACAGCCTTTACTTCCTGACTTAAAATGCAAGGAGAACCTGCCAGACAGTGGAGGCTCATGCCTGTAATCCCAGAACTGAGGATCACAGTTCAAAGCCAGCCAGAACAGGAAAGTCCATGAGAGTCTTATTTCCAGCTGGAAGCGGAGCTGTGGCTCAAGTGGCAGAGCCCCAGCCTTGAACAAAAAAGGGTGAGCAAGAACTCAAGGCTCTGAGTTCAGTACACCCTACCAACACAAACAAACAAACAACCCTGCTCACTTTGCATATCCTACAGCTTCATATAAATGTAAAATAGTGCAAAATTTAAAACGAGAAGATTGGGGGCTGGGCAGGTGGCTCAGTGGTAGAGCGCTTGCCTTGCACGCATGAGGCCCTGGGTTTGATTCCGCAGCACCCCATAAGCAGATAAAGCCAGAAGTAGCTCTGTGGCTCAGGTGGTAGAGCGCTAGCCTTCAGCTGGGGGACAGCGCCCAGGCCCAGAGTCAGGCCCCACAACCGACAAAAAAAAGAAAAAGAAGATTGGTAAATCAGTAAATTTTTCTTTCTGTTCAAAATCGCACTCCACTCCCTCCCTGGTGCTCCCGATAAACAGCATCAATGAAGGGAAACAGTGATCAATAGGACTGAGCTCTGTTTTTCCAGACTGTTCTGCAAGTAGTTCCACCTCGTTTTTAAAGGGCACAGATGGTGGCAGCACCTGTGGGAAATAATTCTGGAACATTCTCACGTGTCATAAGCTCCGTGTATGCGCACAGGTCTCTTGTCCCGTATCGATTTAGTGGAAGTTATTTTCGCATCTGTATACTTGGTTTCCAGGAGGTTATTTCTGAATAAAACTCCCCTTCTCACTTGGCTGTTTTGCTCAAGGCTGGCGCTCTACCGCGTGAGCCAGGCCTCCTCTCCTGCTGCGCAGGGGTTCGTTGGAATGAGAGTCTCTCAGGCTTATCTGCTCCAGCTGGCTTCGAACTGGAACCCTCAGATCTCAGCTCCTGCCCAGGAGGCTTGCAGCAGACGTGAGCCATCAAACTTTCAGAAGGGTTGACATGATCTTACAACTGAGAAGAGTTGGGGAACAGTCTTTTAAGTAGTGGAGGTTGTCATGGTAACCTGCATCAAGATGCTCAATAGGACTCCAAGCCTGAAGAATTCAAGCACAGTGAACACGAGAATTTCACTGGTCATCCTTCCCTGGGTGGTGGGAGACACAGTCGTCCGTTGCGACTGAGCCATTTTATTTCCATTTTCAGCAGACGGGAAGCAGGCAGCATGTTCCCACACTTTGAAACTTCCTTGGTAGAATAAAGCTGACCAAAGCCTCATGATCCGCATTTGAGATGCTTTCTGATAATTATCACAAAGCGTTTCAGATTTCAAGGTAGGTTTCATGTGGTTCCTACTTACATAAAACATGAAAAGTTCAGGATTCGGTGATGGTTGAAAATGTCTGTAGATATTGCTTCACACACACACCTAATATTCAGGAAGCTGTAAACAGGGCGCCGGTGGATCACGCCGGTCACCCCAGCCATCCAGGAGGCTGAGATCTGAGGATCTCAATTTGAAACCAACCCATGTTAAAAAAAAAAAATCCGTCAGGCTCTTCCCTCCAGTAGACCAGCCCGGAGTGGGGAGCAGCCTGGTGCTCAGGTCAGGAGTTCAAGCCCATCCCCTCCGAAAATGAATGCACACTCACCGCAGGCTTCAGGGTTGCTCCCTCTTTACGCTATCATGAACTCTTGTATAATCACAAGAGTGCAGGATGAGTCCGCAGTCCCCACCCCGATGAAGAGCAGTGTGTCCCCGTCCTATCGCTCTCGTCCTACTGACCCAGAATACGTCGGCCGTTCAGCCAGGACCAGGACTAACCGTGTTGGCACAGAGTTCTGAGACTTTCAGGGTCAAGTTGTGGCATCTGTCCAGGGCCTGGTTTCTTTTTTTTTGTTTTTTGTTTTTGTTTTTTGTCGGTTGTGGGGCCTGAACTCTGGGCCTGGGCACTGTCCCTCAGCTCTTCAGCCTAAGGCTGGCACTCTACCACTTGAGCCACAGCGCCACTTCAGCTTTTTTCTTTTTGCTTATGTGGTGCTGAGGAACCGAACCAGGGCCTCAGGCATGCAGGGCAAGCGCTCTACCACTGAGCCACCTGCCTAGCCCTTGAGTGCCTGATTCCTGTCTCATGGTGTCAGCACTCAGGACGAGAACAGAGAGGGAGGGAAGAGGACCTACCTCCCCTCCCCACCTTATTTTCCCTTTTTGCTGTCAGTCCTGGGACTTGAACTTGACCTGGGCTCTGTCCCTGCGCTTTTGTGTTCAAGGCTGGTGCTCTACCGCCTGAGCCACAGCTCCACTTCCCGGCATGTTCATGACTCATTGGAGAGAAGGTAATCACAGACTTTACCACCCAGGCTGGCGTCAAACCAGGATC